CATTCTTCTTCTTCTTCTTCTTATTAATATTCTAACAATCCATTATTCATCACGAAGCGAGCAGCCAATGGCAGGAGGCGCTCAGGATGGCAATACAGATCACATGACCCCTCTCATCCAGACTGCATGCAGTTTGGTATTAAAATGTTTCCAGCAGCTCCAACCATTGTGTTGTTACACATTTCAGATGACAGATCCGCGTTGAGCTGTTGGAAGCGGCTGTAACCTCCCGTCGATCACCTGGACTGACGCCACAGACGGTTTACCTCCTCTCAGCTGTTATTGTCCAGGTTGTGTCCCCCCCCCCACCCCCCCCCAAAAAAGTGCAGCGCTCCGGTGGGCAAGAGACGCCAGCTAACGTTTCAGTCAGGTCGGACGGCGGCGAGGCCCCAACCGGGACGGGAGCGCAGGGGGAACCATGGCCAACATCGCGGTTCAGAGGATAAAACGGGAATTCAAGGAGGTCCTCAAAAGCGAAGAGGTGAGAAGAAGCTGTTGTTTTCCCCCGTTTCTCTCCGTGACAACGAGCCGAGTGCGAGTGACGCGTCGCTGGCTCAGCTGTCAGCTTGCTAAGCGCCGAGCCGCGGCTAGCTTTAGCTAACTGTGTCCGACACGGCTACACAAACAGCGAGCCGCCGACGTGCCTCTGCGGTGGATTACAGATAAAATACAACGCCACCGCTGCTCGAAAGCACTTGGGCAGGTGTCGAAATTCAAGCAAAGCCTCGAATTCGTGTCGCTAAGTGCGAGGCTAGCTCACCATGCCATCCTTGTGTGTCCACCGAGCTAGCTGTGTTAGCCCTAGCTAAGATAGTTTGGTGTGGTCCGCCTGTAGCGCTGAAGGTGTGCGCCCTCACATGTGTCCTCCCGGTGTTGACAACCTCCATCCTCACGCCTGCGATGTGTTAAAGTTGAAGATGCGTGCAACAAGTTGGGGTCCACTTTGGACGATGTTGCGTCGAGGGGGTGTGGGGGGTTAACTTGTGCTGCCAAGGCAGGTTTGAAGTTTTGACAGGGAGCTAGGCTAACTCCTGTCCGCGGAAGTTAAACGTCTCTTCACCCTTTTCTCCCAGACGAGCAAAAACCAGATAAAGGTGGATCTGGTGGATGAGAACTTCACAGAACTCAAAGGGGAGATAGCAGGACCACCTGACACACCATATGAAGGTGAGGGGCTCATTCAGACACACTGCTAGCTCACCTGTATGCATGGTTGCACAATGCTATACTGACAACCTGTCTGTTTTTGAGGGCCTCGCCTACTATGTGTAGAGGTTGTTTAATCCATAGTTATGTATCTAAAATAGTCATAATGTTGTTTATTGCAAGCTTGAAGCAGTCTTGTCATGATTCTTAAACAACAGTGATACCTGCCATTTCTTCCAGGGGGTAGATATCAACTAGAAATTAAAATTCCAGAGACGTATCCATTCAATCCACCCAAGGTAGGAATTCTTTGCTGTTGTTGTTGCTGATTGTAATCTCTTTCTTTGTGTACGCTAGCTTTGGAAATGTGCTGATAGTAATGTTTTTCTCCGTCATGCTCTAATGTCATCTCTCAGGTGCGGTTTATCACAAATATCTGGCATCCAAACATCAGCTCGGTCACAGGTGCAATATGTCTGGACATTCTCAAAGACCAGTGGTGAGTGTGTGCCAGCATTCTTTACATTCTTCATCACACATACATCCATCGTGAAATGCTTCTCTTGTCACGTCAGACAGTATTTTTCCTACCGAAGTCCGTAAGTCGTATCCAAGTTACTCGTAAATCAGTGCCCTGTAACAGCTGGAGAACACAAGCCTTTTGTCAACAACTAAAGCTTGAGAATGATGTAGCTCCAATATGAATTGAACCAAGCTCCCACTTATTGTAATGTATTGATACAATAAATAATAGGGGCACAACAGAGTTAAAAAAGTGAATGAGCCTAATGTGCCTGAAGTTTAATGTATAGTGTTCCAAGTATTTGGGTACACAGATCAGTGAACCTGAACTAGTTTGTCAACAATCATGTTGAATATTGGAGTCAGAGGCAGTGAGCGGAGATCACCTTGTATTGTTATTGTACTGAACAGTGACATGTACTCTATTGTACTGTATGTCCTTTGTAGGGCAGCAGCTATGACTCTGAGGACAGTTCTCTTGTCACTACAAGCCTTATTGGCAGCTGCAGAACCAGATGACCCACAGGACGCAGTAGTAGCCAATCAGGTGGGTGTGCATGCATTTAAGATTTGACTTTTGTATGTAGTATTAAGTCATGACATAATAGATTACTAATATTGTATTATCCCATTAATGCAGTAGCCTGTATAAACAGAATGCTCATTAGTTTTCTGGTTGTAAAGGCGTCAGTTGGAGATGGATGATTCAGATTAATGAAGAGGTTTCCCGACTCATTATAACTGTAAACATATACAATAACTCATTGCTTTAGCTGTCCTTTAATTGTAATGTACTGGTTAGAGTTGCTGTGGTAGTCTGCGTTTCTGGTGTTACATCGTGTTTCGAAACATACCGATTACGCAACTTGCCCACCAGCCATTTCTATCTAGAAACAAAACCTTTTTGTTTTTTTGTTATAATTTTTTTTTGTTATCAATACTCAGTCTAATGCTGCAGTTCTAAAGGGTCACCTCTGCAGAGTCACATCACAGAGTAACAAAGTCTTATCACCAGATGAGAGGAGAGTTGACCTCCGACAAGGCTCACCAACAGACAGCTTAACGTTTTAGAGAGAGAAGGATTCAGTTAGAGACATTGGTGCAGAGAGCTCTGTGCTCTTCAATGAAACCACTTTGTAAACATTTGACAGATCTTTACTGTGGGTTAGGGTTAACCTTAGTCTGGGTAATTAAACACTCGACACAACTCCAAGAGCAGCAGAAGAGTAAAGCTGCCTTTAGCGAAATCTAACACACTCTTTTCTTGTAAAGCTTTCAATGTAATCAGTGATGTAGTCATGAGTTTATTACCCAGTGAGAAAATGACCACACTGCAGCATCCCTTTTTATTGTGTGGTGTGTTTTCCCCAACGTCTTTGCAGATCCTATCATCTACTGTACACATGTACTACACTTTATACATTTCAAAGCCTTAACTATGAATATAAATATGACATTAGCTCAGTAAAATATGGAGGAGTTCTTGAAGATATCATATTTAATAGTTACACCCTCAGGCTCTTTCTTCTTAACATAACATCACTGGGGAGAGCGGGGCAGGTAGTGTCACAAAATGATTATTCTGTTAACAAGATACATTTCTGACACCTCCCAGGTTTTGCCCTTGTGGAATGCACCACTGATCTAAATGTTTATGTCAAGTTAATTTGTTTTATTCAGTTTCCTTCAGTTCAATGGCCCTGGATTGTTTCCTTTAGCTTTCACACAGTGTGAATTGATGCTTTGTTCATTTTTGTGCTGCACACAGTGACGTATTAATCACTATTCATTCCAGTGCCAAACTGCTGTGAAATATCAAATATAGGCAGTGACATGTTTGCCCATTATCTGCTCTTCTTATTAAAAAGATTTTTACTGAAACCGTAACTCCTACATACAATCACCAATCCTGTGTAGAGCAACAGACATCTGTCACTTACCAGCCTATATTCCAATGAAACATGCACAAATGAATAAAATAAGAAAAGCATTGTATAGAATTTGTTTTTTTTAGCGACATTAATGTTTTTAAACCCAGATTTCAATACTGAATGTTAGACATTTGGTCAGAGGTCCAGTATGGAGTAGAAACCTAAAGTAGGACTCACCCTACAAGAATGTTGGGCTGAATTATCCCTGATTCATAGTTTGACCTCTCAAACTGCCTGCAGAGTCATCACCCCAATAATTATCAAATATGATTGATATTCAGGATTTAAAATTGGGATGATCCATCAATACTTTAGCAGTGGAACCAATGAGAGAGACGAGCTGAGTGTTTAAAAAAGCTACGGCGAAACAAGCTACTGTTGTTGGAGGAAAGATAACTGTTGACACATAAACTGACAATTAAAATCTCACCACCGGTTCTTACTGAAGATTAGACAGGCGTTGTTGACACAGCTCCTGTACCATGTTCAAACTGGAGTCTTGTTTTTTTACTTTCGTTTTATTACACTGCACATCATTATCACAAATGGAGCAAGTTGTCGTTTGCACCTTCTTCTTCATGAGATCATTTTTACGAGGTGACCTGAGATGATATATCACTGCCTGTGGAGTGATAATCTTAATAACAACCTGCAGTGTGTGATGTGCCATTATTTTTAAATCTCATAGTGTGTGCTAGCATGTTTGAGATCAGAGAGAAGAATATCTGACTCTCCTCGAGTGGGTGATGCAACATGATTTCAGAATCAGTCAGGATTTGAAAGTTCCTGTAGTCTGAGCAAACTGCTGTTCAGCTGCTTTAGAATATCTTACATTTTCTTGAAGCTGCAGTAGAAATGCTGCTTGAATGTTTGGCATTAATAATATTTAGTACATTACTGTATTAGATAATGGGCATTTGAAATATAGTGTGAAGAGTCCAAAACTGAATATGAAGCTGTAAATCATTTGTTTTATGTAGATAGTCTAAGTACTAATATTTAATGATGATGAGAAATCTACACCTGCATTACATTCCAACTATACAAAGCTGGCGGGTGCAGGGCTGAAGTGATTGCAGCGCTGCAACTTCTTCTGGCTCCGGCGAGCTGAGCAGCCTTAAAATCTTGCAGAGAATTATTTTAATTGCAACCTGCTGTTGAGCCACATATACAGGACCTTATAGATGGACCATAATTGCTCCACTCTTCTGCTCCCAGTCATGTATATATTGAGGGATATTCAAAGCAGTAGCATATACCCCATACTTTTAAATGTTATATAGTTTCAGAACACTGAATAACTGTAGAGAAGAGTGTTTTCATTCTTTATTATTCTTATTTCTTGATTAACTGATCAGTCATTTATTTAATCAACAAGCCAACATATTGAAAATGCAATATCCATATATATGTCCAAGAGTGCAAGATGCTTTCCTCAAATGACACGTAAAAATATTCAGTTTGTTATACCGTAAAAAGTAAAAGAAGCTTTTGCCATTTTCGCTTTAAAAAATAATAATGGACGAGTGTCTGATGCTTTTAAAAAAAAAAACCTTTTAACAAGGGTTTGATTTTTACATGTGCACACTGCTGCATATATGGTACAAAATGAGGGTTCATGGTCCAACATTTTTAGTGAATGCCTTCCTATGGCTGCGATGGGACTGAGTGATCTGCATATATGTTCAGTTGGCCTACTCAATCTAGTGTTTTGAATGTCAACAGGCTGTGCTGTCAGTCTGGTGCAGTCTCTGTGAGATCCACAATGGAGAATACCTGCTCAGATTATAACAATGTCCAAGGATTTATTTTAAAAGATTACACAATAGAATGAATTGATCAAAATGAATGGTTAAACGGTTAATGATGAACATCCCTGGTGAAAACCACTCTCTCCATCTTGATCTAAACTGCAAATAAAGAAAACCTTTGCCACAACCCTACTGATGTTTTTATCATTTGTTCACGCAGTACAAGCAGAACCCAGAGATGTTCAAACAGACAGCGAGGCTGTGGTCTCATGTCTATGCAGGAGCTCCCGTCTCTAGTCCGGAGTACACACGCAAAATAGACAAACTCTGTGCCATGGGCTTTGATAAAGTAAGTATCTTTAAACCTTCTTCTCTCTCTCTATGTTGCATTGCACTGCTGAATCAATCTGACTAGTTTTTGTCTTCCTCTGTAGAAAGCAGTAATAGTGGCGTTGTCGTCGAAATCCTGGGATGTGGAGACAGCGACAGAGCTACTGCTCAGTAACTAAATCTCAACACCCCCCCCATCTTCCTCTTGATCCCTCTCGTCCCCACTTCACACATACACACCATCTCTCCTCCAAATTCCAGCTGTCTGAAGGCACCTTGTTCACCATTCCCCCTCTCCTCCATCCCTCTCTCTCTCTCGCTCTCTCTCTCCTTCTGTGTGGCCTCCCTCCTCCCTGCTCATCACCTCTGCTGTAACTCACACACTCCAGTCAGTTGCTCTGTGAGCTCTTATCTCTGGTTTCTTTAAGTCCATTCAACATTCCACTCAGCACCACAATCAAAAGTCCAACTACATCTCCACCCCCTTTGAATTAAATGCCAGACTTGAGACCCCACCCACTCCCGGCTTTTCTGGCTGAGTCCAAGAAGCGGCTGTCAGCAGCTTATCTTTGCCTATGCAGTGCATTTTATTTTCATTTGTGCAAACCTTTTGTAGGAGAAAGTCAAGCCATTCAGGGAGGCTCTTCTGGACCTGGTCCTGATTATAACACACTTTGGTCTTGCTTTCTAAACAGGGGATTAGCTGAGTCCAAGACTTTGAAACTGGTACCAGAGCTACCATCACTCTCACCCACTGTCAGCTGGGATTGGAGCCTGCTCCACCCGTGAACCAGAAGGATAAGTGGCATAGATCATGAAGATTCAGGGGGAAGTATAACATTTTTTTTCTCATAACATTTGGACATTCAACAAAAATGTGTGGTAAAGTAAATCTAGCGCACCTATAGGCAAATATGAAATACGACATAATGACCCAGTTGGACGAAGCTTCTTCCCTGTTCTGTAAACCAGATCATAAAGTGGTACTGAGGTGTAGACATGCTCATTTTCATGCCACGTTTTCCCCCACTTCAGCCGTCTGATGAACCCAGAGCCCCCACCACCACCACCACCTATCCCTTTCCCCACAATTTTTAAAAAAAGAAATGATTTGGTTTTGGCCTCCTACAAAAATTCATTTGGATTCTTGTTTTTAAACCAAGAGAAAACTAAACAAACAGAGAAAAACATGTTCAGCAGCAACACAACCTGTCTGGATTTAAATTGTTCCAAACGAGTTTGAAAAATATTGCATCATGTAAACTACGGCAACAGATAAATATGTCAAAAATGATTCATCTGTAAATAAAGATATTAAAGTCTGTGTAAATTAAATCCACACGCTTTCCTGTCTGTTTCCCTCTCAAAGACGCATCTTTGTTGTGTGGCAGTTGACAGATGGATTATCCACCCCCACCTCAAGGAAATACAACAAATCAACACATGTAAAAACTACTTGGCAACAGCCTTCAGAACAGTCAGTATTTGATGGTCAATCTCAGTTGTATTTCAGCCACATCATGATATATCGAAGAACCTTTAGTGCATGATGTTGTTTGGGATCCAGCATTTGTTTATGAGCTTGTTTGGCTGTGCATACATTTGAATAAAAAGTAGTGCAAGGTGCTAAATTTACAAGACCATTGGAAATTGAACCTGCAGGGAATTATTTCGCTAGTGAAAATGGAGCAAGGAAGCCAATTTAGATGAAGAATGAGCATGCAGAAGAACTGGAGAATGGATTATTCATATTGGAATATGCCTTTCTTTATAAGTAATTTGGACTTTTACAGTGGTGCACTGCTGTGTCCTAAGGATCCTGGTTGTGGAAAACTATTTTTTTTTTCAGTGCTTTGAAAGGAAGCGATGTGGCCTCTACTCATAATGTTCGGATAACCTTGCTGAGGTATACTGAGGATGAGCACAGTAACAGATGGCCTGCTTGGTGACATGTTGTGTTATGCTGAATCTCTCCAGGATACCCTGGCAGAAATCTGAGCGTGCAGGCTTGAGCCTCACAGGAGAGAAGCTGCCACACGGACCTGTTTGTGTCTGCTAATCAACAACAGCGTGTCGTGTAGATCCGTGAGTGTGCTGCGCTGCACCTGCTGCACAACCAATCCAGCCTCAGGTTTACCAAAGTTCCCTAATGACAAACTCTCATTTTCTATCCTTTGGCATATGTCTCTCGTGTATCCACCAGCTGGAACTCCTCCAAGCATCCCAGAGCAGAGTACTGTACCACAGAGCTGAATATATGAGATTTAGGGGGAGAAAAGAAGAGCATTCTGCCTGAGACAATCACTGTGCTATTAAAATGCACTCAAAATAAATAAACTTGTTGCATTATTACAGTGTTGAAGCTTCCATAGGACTGATGTCCCCTTAGCTCACCTCCTTGGCTACAGTTTGTTCCCTGCCATGCTATAATAAATTAATGTTTATGCCCAGGCACATAAAAAC